TAGCATATTGACATGAGGATTATGAATAAGACATATTATCTAGATTTATGGTCAATAAATGACTATTCATTTTCAAACACAAGAAAGCATTCTAAACATGAATTAGAATGAAAATTTCCTTCAATGTTTTATACTTTCAATTCTATCCAATGACTAAATTATACACACACACACACACACACACACACACACATACATATATACTCATTCTACATATAGTGAGTCAGAGGAATGTCTACAATAATTATGATAATTAAGTGTGCTGCTTCTCTATCTTATAATGACTTAAATATGCTGAAAAAACTAAAAGGTCTAAATCTGGCAGCCTGGTAGATTCATAATTAGGTGGATTCATATTAAACCATGCTGTTGCTTTACTTGTTTGCTGAAATTCTTAGGTCCCAAAATCTAACATTTCAAATTGAAATAAAATAATCATAAAACATTTAAAATTAAATAAAAGTATCATGTAATTATCACTGACAATGAATAAGGCTATGGGTAACTTAGGGATCAACAACACTGAATATTTATTCATCCTTTTATGCTTTTTGTTTTGGTACCTGGGATTGAACCCAGAGGCTCTTAACCACTGAGCCACATCTCCAGCCCATTTCTTATATTTTATTTAGAAACAGGGACTCACAGCAAACTACATGTTGCTTAGGGCCTCAGTTAGTTTCTGAAGCTGGCTTTGAATTCGAAGTCCTTCTGCCTCAACATCCCGGGCCACTGGGATTACAGGTATGTGCCACTGCACCTGACCTTATGCTGTATTTTTAGGAAGTAGCTATAGTACAATTTAAGGTTAAGCGAATTAGTAAACATAACAGAAAGGGACTTGGATGCTTTCATCATGACTCTTCATTGACAAATACATGTTGTCATATGCTTGTGCAAGATATTACAAAATGATGAAATAGCCAGTATTATTTTATTTCATTAAAAGTATCATTTAAAATGATACTTTTAATGAAATAAAGACAAAATGCTTAACACCATATTTTATGACATCAAAATAGCAGAACTTATTAACAGTTAATGGTTATTTTAAAAAAAGAATATAGTTCATATGTTGGAAATTTGGAACTTTGGAACTTGCTAAAATATTGTCCAAGAGTGCAATTGTAGTTTTGTTTGCATGACATGCAATGCAAAAATTTAGCATCAGATCAATGCATGCTCATGACCTCTATGTGCAAGCCACCATTCTAGAGGCTGCAGCATGAAAAACAAAGTGCTGCTTTCAGAGAGCTGACACCCTGTATGAAGGACAGACACAATAAACGTGTAGTTGATCCTTATTATTTGCAGAAATCAACTTCTGTTAAAACACTTGCAAGTACTGAATTAGTGAGCAATGCTTGTCAGCAAGTGAGTATCTGGTTTTCTTCATTCATCAATACGTTACCTTATTTTATGAGTTTTCTATTTAAATACACCTTGTTTAATATATATTATCTACTCATTTACCAATGAACTCATGACCTATAGCACTAGAGTTTATGCCTGAATGAAGCTTTTTTTCTTTTGAAGCACACTGCAGCCTTCTTTCACTTAGAAACACTTGCCAGCTCTTCAGCACCATGTCTGGGGACTCTTTTTAAACACACTTGACACTTCACATATGTGTTGAAACTGAGGACTTGTGTCTTTTTCATTGTATCTGTTCTTTCATTCATCAGATAAATACATGCTGATCATCTCTATGTGCAAGCTGGTATTCTACAGGCTGGGGGTGCCACAGTGAATGAGAGTACAGTTGCTGCTCTCACGAAATTTACGTGAAATGTGAAGTACAGGTATGAAGACATAAATTGATATGAATATACTGTGTATACAACCAGAAATACGAAAAACTGTGCTCTATATGTGTAATAAGAATTGTAACGCATTCTGCTGTCATGTATAAATTAAATATATATATGAAAAGATACAAGCCTTTGGTTTTAACAAGTTCATGCAGTGCCAGGAGAGATGAATGAGAAGCATTACAGTGTCTGACTACTTATTACTAGTACCTGATAATGACAAAAATAGAAATAATGATAAAAATAGAATAGAATAGTATATTCTATTAATGATAAATGATTTTAAAAAGAATTTTATGCCTAATCCAACTGGAATTCAGGAGGCAGAGCAAAAGAAACAATACACATCCACGAGTATAAGTATTCTAAAAATTTATTACCCATAGATCTTCCCAGAAAGAATTAGTTAAAAATATAATAAGCAAAACAAAAATGACAGAAGAGAGGGAATAATGTAAGGTAAAGGACATAGTGGTAAGAAAATAAATCAGCAAAGCTTCTAGCTAAATCTGAGTTATTATGATGCAGTAAGTAAAAGTTAGAACACTCTTTCAGAAACTGAAATACTTAATGGACTCAGGTGGCAGATCACAGGAAGAAGTAAACATTTTTAAATGTCCTTTAAGGGAGGAAAGATGGATTCTGACTGACTCTTTTTTTAAAAGAGAGAGAGAGAGAATTTTTTAATATTTATTTTTCAATTTTCAGGAGATACAACATCTTCATTTTTTTTTATGTGGTGCTGAGGATCGAACTCAGTGCCGGGTGCATGCCAGGCGAGCATGTTACTGCTTGAGCCACATCCCCAGCCCCTGACTGATTCCTGATGTGCATAAATATGTGTGAGACTCTTTAAAATAGTAATGAAAAAGCAAAATCAGAATATATTATATCCAGGCCACAGAATTTAAATAAAAGTGGTGGAGGGATACAAAAAAAAGGACAAGTTTAAGAAAAGGAATAAAAGGAAAAAAATAAAACAAAAAGCAGAATCAATAACAAACATAACTTTCAAAACAAAAAAAATACCAGTAAATTCAAAATATAAATAGGTTAAAATTTGCTTTTTAAAAATTAGAGTATATATGTTTTTATAGCTAAATACAACTTTCTATTCATAGGAACCAAGAGTCTTGGAAGAATGGTCTGGTTTCTTTCTGGTGAACAGAACTCGTGAGTTTGAGCCATCTCCTTGTGCCAGAAATCTTGTTGGATCATTTTTCTCCTGAAAATGGGGAATGAACAACCTCCAGCATTGATTTTCTTTTGGACCACCTTTCCAATGGGCTATGCCATGATCACCAGTTTACACTAATTCCATTCTTGCTACAATTTCTACTTTTTTTCCCAGACAATTTTGCCTACTCTCAATGCCCTATATCCACACTTTTCTATAAAATGCATGCCCATACTTTGTAAGCAAACATAAGTTTAAGAAGCATTGTATTCATCTAACATTCCCTCCTGTATCAGTTCAAGTTAAAGCATGTGTGACCAGTAAAGAATAAAGAAAAAGGAAATAGGCAGGGGACCCTCCCAACAATGATGCCATTCTGACATCTGAGAAAAGGGATGAGAGAAGGACCACAGAGCAGTTCTGAGAAAGATCTAAGTCTCAGCCAAAGTCGCTCACAAAAGCAATCCCACATCAAGCAAGAATGCGTCAGTTCTAGAAACGACTTTGTGCTGTGTCGTTGGCTAGAAGTAGCTGAGAGTAAGCATGCTCCTCTTAGAGTGAATATCAAGGCAGATCTCCAGGACAGCACCTAGAGGCTGGCAGTCAAGCATGCTCCTCTTAACAGATTCTCCGAAAGAGATGTGAGCAGCATATTCCTAATGCCACACCTACTGATGTAAATTTATAGTCATCCATCTTTTGCATTAAAGCAATCTTTTTATATACTCATATTTTTAACCTTACCTTTTAAGCTCATGGCATCTTTATATGTATCTTTTACTTAAGTAAATAAAAACATTAGACTGTGCAGAAAAAAGAAAAGAAAATGCAAACATAGACGTTAATCTTCCAAGATTTTAAATATACATACACTTGGACCAAAAATTCCAAACAAAAATATGGGTGTAATATATATATGTTCAAGTATATTTTAAAAGAAAAAAATCAAAATGCAGAAAAATATAAATTGCAATTCTGTATGTGTAAAAACATCAATTTGCATAGCATAAATGGCAATGAAAACATCTGAATAGATACAATTTTTAAAAATGCACTTACCAGTGGTTAACTTCAGGGAAAAAAAGAACTAAAAGATGGTATTTAAGTTGGGAAATGTTCTATGCCATATATATCTTTATTTTTGAATTTCATTCATATGCTACTTGTTCAATTTCTTAAGTATTTAAAGGCCCTTGCCATTAAAAATAGCGCAATTATTTTGCTAAAGAAAATAGTGGCATTTTAACAAAAGACAAAATGGAATTTTTTAGACAGAAATCACAAAGTAATTATTTGTAAGGCCAAATTAGCCATATGTTATTTATACGACACGTCAAAAACAAAGAAATGTAACAAAAAAAGGAACAAAATTAAAATATTCCTAGATACAAAAAAAAAGAACATAGGAATTAAAAAATTATAGCAGAATTCAAGCGTTAAATAGGCCAAATTGAGTCACTTAAAATTAATAGGAGACAAAAATCTATAAATTCATAACTTTAAAATTCATAGTAAAGATAAAATGATTTCTTATCACATTAAGTAAACATATGGAGAAATGGACAAAACACAGCTTCATTCAAAACCCCCAATTAATCGAAGTCTTTAAGATCAAATGGAAGAAATAAGCCACTTAAAAATGGACTCATATTATACAACAGTCAAAGCTATTATTAATTCAGCACTTGTATTTATCAGGCAATACCCTTTACAGTCTCATTAAATTCTCAAGACATCCACTTTACATACAAAAAACTGAGACTTCAACACACCAGCCTCTGTGGGGCCCAGGCGCACAGTAGGCCTGGTCCACCCCTTTCCCGGTGGGGCACACACTCCCCAGAGCCTAGCCTGTGGTGCAGGACTGCCCCTTCTGATCAGTGGACTAGGCGGGAGCCAAGATCCAGCCCAGACCACCCACACCAATCCACACGGGATTCAGGCT